ACAACCCCCAATCTCAGAGGCTCTTAATAAAACAACACAACACAAATCTTATTTTTCACTTGCCATGTGTCCTACATAGGTTGGCAGTCCCTGCTCATTGCCATCTTTCAGGGACATAGGCTGATAGATGTTCTGTTCCTACACATGTTTCCATAATCACCAAGGCAATAAGGTAAAATGGGGAATATGGTCAGTTGCATACAGGCTCTTAAAACTGCCACATGGAAGAAACATATGGTATTTCTAGTCATGTTTTACTGGTCTAAGCAAGTCACATAGGAGAGGGAAATAGAATCCATCTGTTTGCCTGGAGGAGAAGGGGAGCAGAATATACATTTACTCCCACCCAAGGAAAACAACCCAAAAGCCCCATGGAATAATGATACCAAATGCAAAACATAGGATATCTGATGATGTGCTGTAGTCTCCAGAGCAGGTCTAGAAATGGTGCTTTTTAAATCCAGAGACTTTAGCCTGGCTGGTGTGGCTCAGTGGTTGAGCGTCAACCCATGCACCAAGAAGTTGCCAGTTTGATTCCTGTTCAGGGCACATGCCCAGGTTGTGGGCCAAATTCCCAGTGGGGGCATGCAGGAGGCAGCCAACCGATGTTCTCTCTCATTGTTTCTATCTCTCTCCCTTCCCCTTTCTCTCTCTCTAAAATTAATAAACAAAAAAATATTTAAAAAATCTAACAAAATAAAAAATAAAATAAATTCAGAGACTTTAAGGCTAATCCAGTAAGTTCTCTCCTTTATACATCCAATATACAATGGTGATATTGGGATAAGGTAACTGCAATAAACTTTTCCACTCAGAAAGGGGCAGTTGGGAGATGCACAGTAGAACAATTCTGAAATCCCCCTAGGTAGACATGTTGAGAGCCCTTCCATGAGAGTGAGCACTGGTCCTCTTACAGTGTGTCATCAATTAAAGTAACTCGGCCTCTGTCCCGCCTCTTCACTCACTCCATCTGAAGAAGTTGGAGTGACTTATCATTGATAACTTTGTAAAAACCAATTGGGGATTCTTTCTTTTGTGTGTGTGCATATTTTAAAATTAACTTTATTGGGGTGATGCTGGTTAATATGATTATATTATAGGTTTCAAGTGTACATTTCTATGATACATGAGGCTGCATTGTGTGCCCACCACCCAAAGTCAAATCATCTTCCATCACCATAGATTTGGCCCCTTTTACCCTTTACTGTCCTGCCACGTGCCTTCCCTCTGGTAACCGCCATACTGTTGTTGTCTGTGTCTATCGGTTTTTGTTTGTTCATTAGTTACTTTTAGTTTTATATCCAGCATATCAGTGAAATCATATCATTTTTAATTTTTTCTGACTGACTTATTTTGCTTAGCATGATATTCACAAAGCCCACCCATATTGTCGCAGTGGCAGTATTTCATCTTTTCTTAGGGCTGAGTAGTATTCGATTGTATATATATACCATATCTTCTTTATCCAATCACCTAGCAAAGGACATTTTAGGTGTTTCCATGTCTTGGCCATTGTGAATCGTGCTGCCCAATTGGGAATTCTTAAGTCAGCTCTACTCTCTTTCTCATGGGAGTGAGCTGCCTTTATTTAGAGAGCATTCACCTCTGCTCAGCATTGTTCCTCTGACCTGGACCCCAGTCCTCCTCTCTCTCAGGTGAAATGGTCAGCCCTGATTCAGCATTGCCTAATAGATAATGTACGCATGACAGATTCTGGGATTCAAATGGCAGGTCTGTTTAGCTGCACAACCAAGTTACATATTTAGCCTTTATCAACAATAGTGGTGATATTCTGATTCTTTATCACTGGTCTACTTTATTTCTCAATTTTTTCAGATGGGAATGATTTCTCAAAATTTAATAATTAGGTTTTCTATTTCAGAAATTCCAGCTAGCCTTAAGTTGGAATGTCTTTAGCATCAGCATTTATGTTCTTTCCTCTATTTGCTTTGATCTGTTTGTTTTATTGTATTCTTTCATGATTATTTTTTAAGACATTTTCTTAATGTTGGAAATTATGTTTTCAGGATGATTATTTTATTTCTTTTTCTAATATTTTAGTTCTATAGTATAATAGTGTTTTTTAGTACTAAATGACTTTTTTTGTAGACTCCTTTTTTATGTTATTTTGCTGATATTTGAGTATGGTTCAGATATAGAAGAGAGATTAGTTAATTTCTGAAGATCTTGACCAACTGAATAAGGGAAATGAGGGAGATGGAACAGTAAAGACAACTAGATGTGTAGCTTGAGTAATTAGGTGGTACTATTCACTGATTATAGAGATTTAAACAGGAGAAAAGTATCTTGATTCTGGAAATAGATTTCTCTTGCACATTGAAACTGATGGGTTTCCCAGTAACACGTCAGACTTGGAGAATTATTTTAACAGTGCAGACCTGAGTGAGTTACTTCCGGGGAGGGAGGGGGACTTCAGAGACATGTAAACACAGTTTCTCAAGAGGAGGTCTACAGAATGTTAGGACGGAGTGTTTAAAACATATTGGAAAAGTGACAAAAACTAACTAATAAATTATGAAAATTTATCTCAGTTTTTAGAATCTTAAATGTCAGTAAAAAAAGAAAGCCTTCACCCTCTTACAGTTTTTAATTTGTATATAATATGACTCTAAGCTCCCAGAATCCAGCACTCTCTTTAATATTATAATTTATTTACCTGTCTTACCTGTCAGATTTGTGAGCTAATAGTAGATTCTAGGAGCTATTTATAAAACAGGGAAACTGAATTTCAATTTCCAAAAAGAAGACAAAGTATAAAAAGTACTGATTAAATTGCATTGAAAGATAATATAGGAATTCAGGAAAGGATCAGAGCCAGGCAAGACAAGAAGGAAAAATGAGATGAAAGCAAATAGAGAAGAGGGCATTTCAGGCAGGAGAGAGAGAGAGAGAGAGAGAGAGAGAGAGAGAGAGAGAGAGAGAAAGAGAGAGAGAGAAAGAGAGATACACAGAGACAGAGAGAGAGACACAGAGATAGACACAGAGAGAGAGAGAGAAGTCACCAAGAACGGAAGTAGAGTGCAACAGGAAGACAAGCCTAACCAGAGAAAGGTTTCATGGACAGGGTTGGAAAATAATGATAGGTATTATAGAATGTTTGTCTTCTACGAAAAGATTTGGCAGAGGACTTCAGACCTAAGTTTGTGGATAAATGGGAGACATTTTAAAGTGTTCTGGCAGGAGGATCATAATGAAGAATTGGTTTGGGACAATGAAACTGGTGGTGGAACAATGTGCAGAGCAGACTGAAGGTGGGGGACACTCAAAGACATGAAGACAAGTATACAGGCAACTATAATAATTCAGAGGGAAGGAAATAAGGACATAGAAAAAGAATAGCAATGGGAAGGAAGGATAAAGACAAGAGACATTATAAATAGAGAATCACACACCTGGCTTTTATGGTGATGATGCTCATGGAAGTCAATTGCTTAGGGGCAAGGCACAGAAAGTAGCTTAAGAAAAAATATTGAAAGTTTACTGGCATGCACATACAAACCATGGGTAGAGTAGTATTGGGACTGTCCTTAGGAATAACTGGAAGAAGGGGTGATTCTCTATCTGTCACCTCCACATCTTCCCATATTGAGTCATCTCCATGAGGCAGAGATCCTGCCACCACCAGCTGTGGGATGGTTTTCTATTGAGTATTATAAAAAACGAAAAACAAAACTATGTAACAATGTTAATAAAAATTCAAAGAGAAAACAATCACCAAGAATCCTGTTACTTTAAGGCAGTTATCAGAATTTTTACTCATTTTCTTCTTATAATTTGTGTGTAGATTCATATTTTGTATGTAGCTGCAATTTTAGTAGTTGTTTTTCACTTCATCAGTAACATAAATATTTTAAGTAAACATTGCTACATAGTCTCATTCTTTTATTTTAAAATTGCTTTAAATATTTTTTTGAGGGAGTAAATGGTTGGACACTTCAGTGGTTTTTAATATTCCGCCATTTTAAAATAATACAGTTGTGAGTGTACAGATATCAATAGGTCATTTTTCTCTTGAATTTTTACATAGAATAAAATTCTCACACGGAGGGGCTATTTGATTGAATAACATAGAATTCTTTTTATTATGTATTGGCAAATTGCTCTCCAAAGGATTGAATAATTTATGTGCCTGCAGCACTGTGTGTGTCTGTCTTGTCAGCTTTGCATTACCTAGTTTTAAAGGCAACAATTAATAATTATTACTAGGTATGCCTGGCCAGTATGGCTCAATGTTTGAGCATCGACCAATGCACCAAGAGGTTGCTGGTTTGATTTCCGGTCAGCGCACATGCCCAGGTTATGGGCCCATCCACAGTGGGGCCATGCAGGAGGTGGCCAGTGGATGTTCTTTCTCGTCAATGTTTCTATTGATCCCTCTCCCTTTCCCTTTCTCTAAAATCAATAAAGAAAAAAAAAATATTACTAGGCGGAAACTATCATTTAATTTTAAAGGCAATATTTTTTGGTCTTTGTGTTTAAGGCAATAATTATTAGGCATAAAATAATATCTTACTATTTCAAAATATTGCTATTTTTTGTTACTGGTGAGACCTTTAATATTTTACTCCTTTACTTATTGTATTTCCTTTATCGTGAATTCTCATTCATATTTTTTGGTTAATTAACTGCTTTATCATTTAGTTTTGGTTGTTCTCCCAAAGTTTAAGTTTTTGTGTAATTAAATCTTTAAATTATTTTTTGTTCTTTCTAGTATATTTAAAAAAAAAAATTTTTTTTATCCTCATCACAGGACATCTTTCCATTTTTTGTTCAGATAGAGTGGGGGAGAGAGAGAGAGAGAGACATCAATGTGAAAGGGACACATCGAGCGGTTGCCACCTGCATGACCCAACCAGGGCCGGGGACAAACTGCAACCGAGGTACGTGCCCTTAGCGGGAACCGAATCCGGGTTTCTCAGGACCGCAGGCCGACGCTCTAACCGCTGAGCCAAACCGGCCAGTGCGTATATTTTAACTTTAAAAGTCATCACCTCTTCATAAATTTGTGTGTCATCCTTGTGCAGGGGCCATGCTAATCTCTGTATTGTTCCAACAGTTTGGTACTGGCACAAGAACAGGCAGATAGATCAATGGAACAGAACAGAGAACCCAGAAATTGACCCAAGACAATATGCTCAATTTATATTTGACAAAGGAGACAAGAGCATACAGTGGAGTCAAGACAGTCTCTTCAATAAATGGTGTTGGGAAAATTGGACAGCTACTTGCAAAAAAATGAAGCTAGAAGACCAGCTTATACCATACACAAGAATAAACTCAAAATGGATAAAAGACTTAAATGTGACTCGTGAATCCATAAAAATTCTAGAAGAAAATGTAAGCAACAAAATTTCAGACATCATACGCAGCAGAATTTTAACTGATACATACACCTAAGGCAACAGAAACAAAGGAAAAAATGAACACATGGGACTACATCAAACTAAAAAGTTTCTGCACAGCAAAAGAAACAACCATCAAAACAGAAAGGGATCCCACTATATGGGAGATCATAATCACCAATGATGCATCAGATAAGGGGTTAATTTCCAAAATATATAGAGTACTCATACAACTCAACAAAAGGAAGACAAAGAGCCCAATTAAAAAATGGGCAGAGGAACTAAATAGACAGCTCTCCAAAAAGGACATACAAATGGCCAAGAGACATATGAAGAAATGCTCAATGTCACTTATCATCAGAGAGATGCAAATTAAAACAACAATGAGGTATCACCTCACAATTGTCAGAATGGCCGCCATCAACAAATCATCCAACAACAAGTGTTGGCGAGGGTGTGGAGAAAAGGGGACTCTAGTGCACTGCTGGTGGGAATGCAGACTGGTGTAACCACTATGAAAAACACTATGGTGTTACCTCAGAAAGTTAAAAATTGAACTTCCATTTGACCCAGTGATCCCACTTCTAGGAATATACTCTAAGAAACCTGAAACACCAATCAGAAAGAATATATGTACCCCTATATTCATAGAAGCACTATTTACAATAGTTAAGATCTGGAAACAACCGAAGTGTCCATCAGTAGATGAGTGGATTAAAAAGTGATACATGTACACAATGGAATACTATGCAGCTGTAAGAAAGAAAGATCTCTTATCCTTTGAGATGGAAGGACCTAGAGAGTATTATACTAAGTGAAACAAGCCAAGCGAGAAAGACAAATATCACATGATCTCACTTATTTGTGGAATATAATGAACTAAACAAACTGCTGAACAAAATTAACTCAGAGACATTGACGTGGGGTACAGATTAACAAGCCTCAGAGGAGGGGGGTGTTTGTGGGGGAAGAGATAAACCACAGAACTTGCATGTATGTATGCATGACCAATGAACATAGACAACAAAGCTGGGGATGGGGTGGGGGGAAGGAGAGGAGGGTGTCAATGGGGGAAAAATGAGAAACACCTGTAACAAAAACAAATTAATAAATAAAAAATTTTAAAAAGTCATCACCTCTTTAAAGACCTAATAAATATTAATTTCTTTTTTAGTTTTTTACAATTTTATTGGACTTATAAAGGCAATGTTATCATTGATCCAACAAAAATATTTTTTATGCAAATGTGAGGTATATCTCTACATTTTGTTTTTTTTGTCGAATTTTTAACCATCAGTGTTATGAAGGATGTTTTATAATAATGAGAGCTGTCCAGCAGTTGAAGTGTTGGCCTGCGGACCAGAGATTCCTGGGTTCGGTTCTCGCTAGGGGCACATTCCAAAAAAACAAGACAAAACAAAACAAAAACAAAAACAAAAAATAATCAGAGCTGTCTAGGAATGAAGTGATTTACTGTTTATGGGGGGGCGTGATTTACTGGGTGCCCTTCCTATTGTGGGTGCCAGGTTTTATTTATTTATTAAAATTGTTTTTTCTTTATTGATTTTAGAGAGAGAGGAAGGGAGAGAGAGAGAGAGATAGAAATGATGAGAGAGAACATCAATTGGCCGCCTCCTGCATGCTTCCCACTGGGGATCGGGCCCACAACCTGGGCATGTGCCAGGAATTGATCCAGCAACCTCTTGGTGCATGGGTTGATGCTCAACCACTGATTATTTTTTAAAGAAAGAGAGAGAGAGAAACATCGATGTGAGAGAGAAATATTGACCAGCTTCCTCCTGCATGCCCCTCACTGGGGATTTGGCCCACAACCCGGGCATGTGCCCTGACTGGGAATCGAACTGGGACCTCTTAGTCCATGGGACAATGCTCAAACACTGAGACACAATGGCTGGGTGAAGAATAAACTCTTTATTGCTATCCAAATGACTAATAGCAGAGGATTGTGATAAAAGGTAATCAAAGAAAATAATGATTTATTTTATTCGTTTTCTTTCAAGAGTAGGTACTCTGGCTAAAGTCACAAATCAAGCTTCTGACACTTGAACGGATGTTCATCTCTATAAGAGACTCTGAAATTCTCACCATCCCTTACCGCTTGATTCGCCAGAGAAGAGATTAATGATGTATCTTCTGGGCATTTAGAGAAAAAGCTTCTCTGGCCCTCTAATGAATTCTTCCTCTTAGTCAGTTACTGACCTCTCTCCACTGGAAAATAGTCCTCAATTGTCTGAATTCTGAAACAGTTCCTGATATAATTTTGTTAAAACCATTTTAAATTCCACACTGAACGCCGTTGCTCCATGCCTGTAATACCTGTATCTGGAAGCAGGTTGAGGCAAAAGATAAGATCATTCACTCATTGGAGACCTCTATGATGTAAGAAGCACCAGTTATTATCTCCATTTACAAAACAACAACAGTAACAAAACAAACAAACCTCCCCCCACAAACACTGGGCCTTGGAAGGCTGAGATCTAATTTTTGTTATTAGTAGCAGAATAATTTATTTTATTGAACAAACATTCATATTGTGGTAATTATGTGCCAGATATTATAACCCCAGGGGATGAGTATTATTTTTATCCTGATTTTAAGATGAGGAAGCTGAGGCTGAGACGTTAAGTAACTAGCCCAAGTCACACAGCTGGTAAGCGGCAGAACCAGGATTTAGAGCCAGGCAATCTGGCTCCAGAGACTGGATTGTTCCCCAATGGGTAAGGCCAGAGTTAGGAACTCAACCTCCTGACTTCTGATTCTGTCTTCTTTCCACTAAACCAGGTAAGTGTACATTCAATTATCTGCCGAATAATCAAAGCCACCACCCCATTTCTGTCCAATGAGCTTTGTCTACCGAGTTTTCATCAAGCATTCTTACCAATCATACCCCTTGCAAATGATCTGTTGCTGGTCTTTATAAGTGACTTCATCACAGAAGAAAACCAAAGTCAATGACCTTCTGGTAGGAGCTGAATCATTGGTACATGAAGTCATAAAAGACTAAAAATTGATGTGGAAGTCATATTTTTTAAAGGATACAAGTGCTAATGTAGGACTTATTTGGCTGCTTCAAAGAGATAAACAACAAAACCAAACACAAATGTGGCCAAGCTAAAATGGATAGGAAGATTCCCATGATTTTTCTCCTACTGGCGGTTGAAGGACCTCACCAGCTCTGTTCTCAACAGTGCACTTGTTCACAAATGATGTGAGGTTAACCCTGGAGAAGCAACAGAGGTTAAGAAGAGTTCTTAACACAACGTTATTTAGTAGACTTTGCACTAGGGTTCAGATAATCAATACAGTGATTTTTCCCACTTCCACTTTAATCTGGATTCGATTTCTGCAACTATAAAGTATAAAGTAACTTCTTACAACTATCTGTAAGAGAGGGAGTGGTGAACTAATGAAAATTATCTTCTATTTCTAGTCCATTGAATTCTTCACTTCCTTCCTAAATGAAGTGTAAATTTAAAGCATTATGCTAAAGCCCTGGCAGGTTTTGCTCAGTGGTTAGAGCATCGACCTGTGGATCAGAGTTGTGGGTTCGATTCCAGTCAAGGGCACGTACCTCAGTTGTGGTTCATCCCTGACCCTGTTCAGGTTCGTGTGGGAGGCAGCCAGTCGATGTGTCTCTCTCACATCAATGTTTCTCTCTTTGTATTTCTTCCTCTCCCTCCCTCCCTCCCACTCTATCCAAAGATAAATGCAAAAAATATCCTTGGGTAAGAATTAATATATATATATATAATTATTATGTATTAATGTACCTTCTTCTCATAGTAAAGGATTTACTTTCTGCATAATGAACTCAAGCATTTCTTTTACCAGAACTTTGAGCTGCTTGCTCAGGCGAACTGCAACATATGGTTTTCCTCTTCCACTTTTTAATATTTTGGTCTCCGGTGAATCCACATACAAAAGCTTCCTTCCTTTAGCCGGAGTCCACAAATGAAAGGCTTTTCTTTTTCTGATTGTAGATTAGCTTGCCAAGAAACAAACATGAGCTGGAGAACATCACTTTAATTTATTGATGGGATACAGATGACAAGGAAGTCTGTCCTCTTCTAGGCTTTTGGGAATGCTTCGGGCTGACCCAGCACAGCTGAGTTCATACGGCAGAGACAGACTTTGCCAAAAACCGAAGCCAATAGTCATTGCAAACCTCTGAACCAAAACATTCCTTTAGTACTTGAATTTCCCTATAATTTGTGTAGATTCCCTTTTTGTCAATGAAGCTAGCAGTGGATAACTAGCTTAGTGCAATCAGACAAAACAACTGTGCCATTCATTCAGTAATTAGATGATAGCAGTACCGCATGCTTTATGGTTTCCGTTCTTCATTCTTTCCTTTCTTTTCAAGTCCTTGGAGACAAACTCTGGGATGTTTGGCAAAGTGGAGGCCCTTGTTGAAAAATATCCTGTCTTTTTTACCCTAGGGTTGCTAATAAGTTCTATTCTCAGAGGCAAAACATTAGATACACACAGCAGGGAGGATTAGCCAAGTTGAAAAAAGAAGTTTGGTTTTTCTGTATATTACCTTTTGCCTATTCATGACTGAAGAAGGTTTTCCTCGTTCTTGTATCCAACAGCACACAAATGAATTTGATACTGAAGCTAAATGCATATAGTAGATTTTACATAAGTAACTTTTTAAAGTTTTAGACATAAAAATTTTACAAGAAGTGAAGCCGACACAGAAAGATAGCAAAAAATAA